GAACTCCCTTTTCCCTGCAGACCCTGTTGTGGCCACCCAAGCCTCTCTCTCTGCCACAGGGTTGCTGCACCCACCTGAATTCCAGAATCCCTGCAGGAGCCAATTTTGACGCAGCTTTAGTAAATGGAGTTCTGCGGGGTCAAATCCAGACCTTCTGCTCCTTCCCGTGCCTGTTCACAAGGCCTCCCACCCTTGTGCCTCACTGGCAAGGAGATTGCCACCCACAGCATGAGCGGGACCCAAGCTAGACGTAGGACAAGGAGTCAGGGGTTTTCCCTGGTCCTTCTCAGCTCCACCAAATCAGAATAGCTACAAGTTGTTGCCACCAAATATCAGCTTCTCTCCCCTCTCCTCACTGTTGGCAGGGGGCTGTAAAAGTTAGGGCAGGTGATTTCATCCATCAGGCAGCACCTGCCAGATCCCTGCTCTGCTCCATTACGGTCTGTGGCAGGGCTGGGACAGAAGCCAGTGTTTTGTTCCTTGTCCTTTGACAACGTTCCCACACTGCTGTCCAAGGCTTTCCTTCCATGGGAAGGCAACATACGTCCCGCTCATTAACAATAAGGAAGTGTGATGGGATTGAAGCACAAGCCCCTTTGCAAGGAGGGAAATTCCTACACATTTGGGGAGAGTCTCAGTGTCTGCAGATTTCCCTCTAAACCAAATGCCACATGGTGCTTTCCTGGCAGTTATCCTCTGTAAAAGGTGACTCCTGGAGGGTGGTCCAGTGCAGTAACTTCTCCACCCTTGGTCCACCTGTGAGAACCAACCCAGTTCTCTGGGCCAATTCTGGATCTGATTCACAGCATCCCACGGTAGCCCTGGAGACTGTAGAGAATCAAGTATTTCGGGCTCATGGGCAGTGCATATCATAGAGACATACATGAATGTTTTCCAGCACTTATTAAGGCCTGGGGATCTTCTGGGGCAGATTTACTAGAAGGAAGAGTAGTTGGGGAGGGTAAAATAGATGTAGACTTTCCTCCATGCTATTAACTTTATCTGCCATGGCAAAGGGTTTCCTCACCTGGCAGGGAGCAGAGCCCATCTACTGTTGCCTCTCCATCCAGGCTGCAGCTACATCAGCTGGGCAACCTCCCCTGCATGCAGTCTTCTGAGGACAGTCTTGTGTTTGTGTGTGGTTGTTGTGACTGCAAGCATTACTTGCTCCCACTTCCCCTTTTGGTTCTCCTGCTTCCTGGTGCAGGAGCAAGACAGTGGAAAAATGTCTCAGGAACATGTTTGTTGGAGGGAAAATGGGAGAATGTTCAATGGAGGTGACCTATGGGCATGTGAGTTCACTTTCTCTGAATTAGCTGATAAAAAAGGTTTCCCAGACAGTTCAGTGAAGATCCCACCCTTCGGTGTCCTCCATGCAGTCATGACCATGGGTGAAGGCTCCTCAAATTTCTGAGCTGATTCCATCAGGTTTGGGTCCAAGACCTTCTTAGGTAGAAGCTCTGCTCTGCCACTGAAGAAGAGAGTTAATTTCTGAGAATTTGTTCTGTATAACAGACCCTAAATTCAACTTCCTAAAAAAAAAAGCAGGCATGTTCAGACACCAGATTCTGGTTTGGGTCCTTACAGCACTGGTCAGCAGAGACATCTTGAAAGCTGATCCAGCCATGTGCCTTAAGCCCGTCTCAGTAGTGCAATAGTTTGTTATGCTGTGCCCAATCTCAATCTCTTCTCCTGCAGCAGGGGATGAAAGGACACTCAACTCCCCTTTTTAGGGCCACAAAACGATCAGAGGGATGGAACACCTTTCCTATGAAAAAAGGCTGAGAGAGTTGTGGTTTTTTGCCTGAAGAAGAGAAGGCTCCGGAGAGACCTTATTGCAGCCTTTCAGTACTTAAAGGGGGCTTATAAGAAAGATGGCGACAGACTTCTTAGTAGGGCCTGTAGTGACAGGACAAGGGGTAATGGTTTTAAACTAAGAGAGGGCAGATTCAGACTAGATATAAGCAAGAAATTTTTTAGAATGAGGGCAGTGAAACACTGGCACATGTTGCCCAGAGAGGTGGTAGATGCCCCATCCTTGGAAACATTCAAGGTGAGGCTGGATAGGTCTCTGAGCAACCTGATCTGGTTGAAGATGTCCCTGCTCAATGCAGGGGGGGTGAGCTAGGTGACCTTTAAGGGTCCCTTCCAACCCAAACTATTATATGATTCTACAATCCTACGATTTTTGAATAGGACGGGAAAAGTATACCCTTCTCCTGGCAAAAACTGAGAAGACATCTCCCCAGGGTGGTGTGTGATATCAGACTTCTGACAACCTCCTTCAGAGCTGTCTGGCCTCCTGCTTTCCTGCTCTGTGCCACAAAAGACTTTTAAACGGAGCCCTGTCACAGTCCTATTTTACATGGCACAGTTAAGGGATTGCTAGGAATTATTATGGGCCAGTAGCACCCTTCCCTGCCGTAGCTATTATTCCTTCTCCTACATGTTAATTTCGGCTGAGTCAATACCTTTTTCCACCTACAATCTCAAGACATTCACTGCAATAATACTGTTGCATATTCAGTGAACAAGCTTGAAAATTTTCCACTCTACTAAAGCTTCACTTTTTTTTCTTCCTTTCCACCTCCCTCTGGGAGGGTGATAAATGTCTGAAAATCAAGAGATGATAGAAGCTCTTCATTCATCAGCTATGGTTGCAACTCCTCCTGAAGTCGAGTGTGGGAACCGCGTCTGGGACAAACTGTGGCCCTGAGCCCGGATGTGCCTTCTCCACCTTAACAGCAGCATCTGCTTCCCAATATGGCATGCTCTGCACTATCTATCTCAGGCACAACTTGAAACTTTGCAGCTGTTGCCACTCCGAGTCTAGCTATAAATCCCCAGCAAGGAGGGAGAGGCTGGGATAGTGGGGGAGTGCAGGGCACTCATCCTGTGCACCGGGATGGGAACAAAGCTCACATGCATCGTGCAGAAGCACAAAACCAAGCCAGTCCTCACGTAGGAATGGCTGGGCAGTCCCAGAGCAGGTGAATAGAGCATAGGTACCAATATTTCATCCTGGAGAAAAGTCTCCTCTTTCTTTCAGTTTTGCATTTGTAACTCAAGAGAGCTGTTCCCTATGCACAAAAGTTTTGTTGACAGACTGGGGGAAACCTAAGCATTTGCCACAACAGGCAATAAGAATGGAAGGGTCCAAGATCATCCACCCACCCAATGCTGGACTATAGGTTGGTTTCTTCTCTTTTGTTCTTTCCCCTGTTCAACTCACAAGATGGAATAAAGTGAAGGCAAGATTATTACCAACAGGATTCATGGAGGCCTTCCAATCACGCTCGCTTTCCAAATCATAAGGAAGTGAAAAGCACATGAGAGTCCAAGCACGTGCCTGAGCTGGAGGTCAGTTGTGAAAGGCTGGATGTCTGGATCAGGGGGCACATAAAGTCAAGGGAGATGTTGCTGAAATTGCGTGAAGAATCTGCCCCTCAATGTGAGGAAACTCAAACAGAAAATCAATAAAATAACCAGACAAAAAAGATCAGCTCAGGCTTCCTGGGAAAGATCCAAGGGCGAAAAACTAATTCCAGAAAATGAGGTCAACCTTCTCTAATAACCATAGCTACTGTTTGTGCTCCAGTGAGACATGCATGTGTGGAGTTTACCTCTCCTCTATTTATGGATTTGGCCTCTTGACCTGGAATTCAATGCCTCTCCGTTGATCCTGTCGTGTTGTGACGGGCCACATCCCGCATGTTTATTGCATTGGCACCAGTGTTGTCTTTATCTAAAGGGTGAGGGAAAAGAGCAGTCCAGAGCTGACACTAAAATCCAGCATCCATCCTCCCTGTCCTCCTAAACAATTAAATTTGATGCAACTTCTCACTTTATATTTTTTCTGCCTTTTTTCCTAGAAGGGACCTCTAAAGCTACTCTAAACGCTCCTCAAGAAAACATCTGTGCAAGCCACCACAAAAGATGGCTTTTTTGGTACCCAATTTAGAGCAGAAAGTATCCCATCATGAGGTGGGACTTTGGGGGATTTGGGAGATTTGAGTCCTTACAGCATGGGTCAGCAAAGAAATCTTGAAATCTGATCTGGCCATGTGCTTTGAACCCATCTCAACAATTGGATAGTTTGTTATGCTTTTCCCAATCTCAATCTCTTCTCATGCAGCCAAAGGTGAAGGGACACTTAAATTGCTGCTCTGAGAAGGACTTGATACCCACAATGACTCTACTACCAGTAGGGAAGGGCTGTGTGAGGATGGAGGAATATGTTGGGGGGCTCCTCAGTGGAGCCTCAGACTCTCTATTTCCACCCTCAACTCATCTACGCTCAGTCACTTCAGCCCAGTCCTTGGACAGATCTTATTAACCACTCTCCCAAATGGCTGCAGCCAGAGTGTCACAAAAGTGTGCAAGGTCACCCTTTGTCTCCATGTGCCAGGTTCCTTCTCAGGGTCTGGACAGCTGGGTTGGTTCAAAGTTTATCACAGACTTTGTGGCATTTGCTCCAGCACCTTCCAGCAACTGCCAGGCATGCTTCTGTCTAATCCCAGTTCATATCAGGAAGATGAAAAGAGAGGTATTTTGCTCTCATGTCACACGGTGGTGGTTCAGTGGCATTGGGGTGGCCTTGAGCCGGTGAGTTCTCAGCAAGGTTTTGTTCCCACGGAGACACAGGAAAACTGACCTGGACAAAAGCAGGGCAGCAACATCAGTTTTAGTTTACTAGAGATGTTCGGGCATTAGCACCGTGAGGAGGGCTGGAGCCCTCTTTGGCGTTTCCAGCACTTGATAAATTTCAGAGAGATTTAGGGCAAGGAGCCAGATGTTTGGGGAGAAATTCTGAACACTAAAGACAAGTGGAAATTTTTTTTTTTTTTTTTTTTTTGGTAGTGTGTATTTTTTCCCATTAGTTGCAAGGCTATATTTAGAAGAGAGACGGAGAGAGAGAGCACGAGAGAGAGAGTAGGCATTTCTTCGTATTCTGTAGCCACTCCAGTTGTTCTGCTTGTAGGAACAGATGTCTCTTTCCTGGGGTGACAGCATTCAGGTCCACGAGGAAATTTTCTTACCAGCAGCTCCTCTAACATAGAAGGGCGATCGGGCCAGAGGTAAGTCAGTCCATCGTGGAGGAATACACTGCAGGGACCGTTGCAGTGAATGCTTTGGGATATTGGTCAGAGAGAAAGGGGGGGCATGGGATCAGAATGGTGACAGCGGGAGACCAGGAGGGAATTGCCAGAGACCGGACCCCAAGTCCAGAGTGGGAAGTGTGTCCATTGCAGCAGGGAGCCCTGGCAGGGATGGCAGTGGAGAGGGTCCTGCGCCAAACACGTGGAAGAGCAACTCTGGAAGTCCCTGGCTCTGCCCATGCAGCAGGTGTAGAAGTTCATCAGGAGGTGCCTGACCTGGAAAGCCAGACTGCACTGGTGACTGCGAGGGGCTGTGAGGGGCTTCCTCTGCTGTGAGTGTCTCTGCTTTGGGGTTTTGGGGCAGTGCCGTGATAGTTGGCTGTTTCCTGAGGAGATGGAGGGTGATGAAAGTGTGTGAAGGTACTGGCTTTCCCCCATTGAAAAGTACTATGCCAGCTCTTGTGAGGAGTGGTGTGATGCCTTATTTGTATCTGTGTATTCTCAGGCATAATTAAATTTGGGGGCGACGCATTCAGGGAGGTTTTGGAAGCCAAGGGAGGAGATGGTGTGCTGCCTGGCATGGGGTCAGTTGCAACTGGGGATGTTTTACCTCTGTTTGGCCATCCAGTAGGGTGCAAGCTCAGGTCTAGGAAAGATGCTGTTTTCTTTCTCTGAATCCGCTTGCTGGGTCAGTCTAAGAAGAAACAGATCCTTTCCAAGGTCCTTAACCAGGTCCCTTTGGAAATGCTCCCTGCTTTCATAGCAACACACTCACCAACAGCTCAAAGTTTTTCCAGGTTAACCTGATTAATCCAAAATTTGCAAAACCCTGAAGGCACTGTGGCGTCTGTCTGCGCAACGCAGTGTCACATGTGCCTAGCAAAGGAAACCACAGATACCAGTCTCCCAAAGCATCAAGATCTGGTTATCCATCCTCAGATGCCTCAAAAAATGTCTGCTTCCTGACCAGGTTTCCCCAGGCCAAGCCCAGGCATAGCTCTGTGCCTCAGTTTCTCCCCGCAGCCAAGAGAGCAGCACAAATCCACTGGGCTGCAGAGCCACATCCGTGGCGGGCTGGTCCACTGCTCATGGCACACCTGACCCTTCTCCCCACTGCATCACCCCTTTGTCCCTACCTGTATTTGTGTCACCTCTGTTCCCCGTGCTCCCTGGGGTGCGAGCACTGCTTCTTCTGTCCTGCATCCCTGGGCCATGCAGGACTCCAGGTATTCCTCAACAACAAACCTCTGTTGCTGCCCTTCTCCTACTGCCCTTCTCAGGTTTCTTGCCAAGGGACAGAGCAAGCAGTCAGCTGAAAGCAGAAAGAAGGAAAAGTGCTCAAAGATTGCTAAATTTGCAATTTAAAATTTTCCTTTCAAAAGCAAGCAGCAATGCACAGGCTGAAAGTGGCTCGGTTTAATCTCCTGTGATGTTTTTGCACTTGTCTGTGAAGTTGCTGTGTGTGCCTATATGGTAATTTTCACTGCAGGGTTCTCCTTGCACACAGCCACAACAGCTTTTATTCCAAACTGACATTTCTAGCACTTTGTCCCAGGCACCCTTGAAATGCTAGATGGATTACTGTAATCCCAATAAAATCAAACACATTTCTCTTGTACTGTTACAACCTCCCAAGAAGACAGGCACAAATCCATCTCTCCTGGCTGGACCTAACTCTAAACCCACATGTTTCTTTCCAGATTTAGCTTTTTTAAAAAAATTTAAATCCTCTTGGAAAAAAATTTCCCCAAAAATATGTGCTTTCCCTTCACATTATACTGGTCCACAAAGGACGGAGAGGGATACACACAGGAAGTCACGCTCTGATTTCTCTTACAGTATCAGAGCTAGAAATACACAGCATCTACTGCAGAGATGTCACTCCATGCTCCGTGGTGACAGATGGCACTCAGTGCTAGCCCTGACAGGCTATGAGATATTGGTCTTTTAAATGCTAACAACATGATTTATAGAACATTCACCAGGACACTTAATATTTCTGTCACTCCAAGGCCAAGATCTGGTAATGCAGAAAAGAGGGACATGAAAAATGCAACAGTATCAATAAGGCATTGTAGATGTCTAAATGTTTCATGAGGGACTTTTCTATACAGTGTGGTGTAAACAAGCAAGTGGAGGTATAAAGCCTTTATTAGCACTTCTAAGGTGACCAGTACTAGCAAGCCTCATCAGAGATGTGCTGAAATACTTCTGGGTGCCCACCACTGCTAGGTGCACTTTTGGGGGTCTGGAGAGGCAATGTATGTACAATCCCATTCCTTTGTTTGCTTGTACATGTACATCTGGGCTCCTTTTTTCAAAGGCTGAGGCATTACTGCTGCAAATGGGCATAGAGGAGGTATAAGCTCATAAGAAATCTGCCAGCACATGAATTTCCTGCTCTGCGTATCTTCGGGAGATTCATTGCATATCTTCCATGCATGCTCAGGAGAGGGCTGGGGGAGGACCATGCAGATCTTTCCAATTTTTAAATAGATTGTCTCTGGGGTGTCCAGGACTGGTGATCCGCCACCTGGTTTTAAGCAGCAGGTCAAAGCCTAGATGCAGAGAGTGGGCATCTGGGCCAAGCCGAGTGGCCTCCCTCCCATCTGGGTCACTTTGCTCCATGAAGAAGAGGAATGTAGTTCGGAGAGTTGCGCTCTCCCTCTTCTAACTGCCAGTGATCCCTCATGGCCTGAGGTGACCTGCTGGACTAAATCATTGCTTGGGCACCCACAGGCTATTGCTTGCTCCAAACTGAACCAGGCAGCTGGGTCCCTCACTCACATAGCATCTGATTTTGGCCTTAGGCTTGCTGGGGAGTGCAGGATCCACCCATGCGCACACACAGCACTGAACACAGCATGGTGGGTGGAACTCAGATCACAACTCACAGCAATATCCATCGCCCATCCATAGCAGGGCCTTGGAGATGAACGACCACATAGGCTAACCGGCCACATCAGGCAGGAGGCAAATGGCTCAACAGCCCATCAGCAACACGAGCCCAATGACCAACATTGCATGAGCCTCCACACATTCTTAAGCCATGATTGCTTAAATGGCTTCAAGGAGACAGCCCCTGGCCATGCCTGGAACTGGACATCCAAAAAATCGGTAGCGGGGTGTTAATCCCTCTTGCTGTTGTGCAAAGTGAGTTCACATCTTTCCCCTTCCAGGCAAAGGCTGTAATTCAGCACATGACCATTCAAACTGTTGGACAAGGTAGGAGTTGCTGGCCATCATGCTCTTCATTGCACATGGGCAAACACGCCGTGTCTGAGCAGTGCATACACCAGACAATCAGCAATCATCTATCCCCAGGCTGGTTCTTCATGAAGAAGGGACAATTTGCTGTAAATCTGAAATTATTTCACTTCAGGCAAAGAATGAGAGGCAAGCATTACTCTCTCTTTGCAAAGAAGCCATCCATCCCTGTTTGCAGTGTTTCAATGCAAAAAGCAATTGTGAATTTGCAGAGAATAAGATCTAAATTAAAGGATGTGCGGTGGAGAGTGCTAGCAAACTCCTTGCAGGTTCATATTAGAGGAAAAAAGGATTGTGCTTAGTGCCTATTTATGTGTTTGTCAGCTCTGATTTCCTTCGTCGTCCTAATGTTTTTCAATCTCTTGGCTAAATTCAACCAAAATTTGGCAGAATGGAAAGATCACCTTGATTTTCAGGAAATTAAGCAGCAAAGAGAGGAGAAAGTCAAACAAGTGTCAGAGCCAAGGGAAGAGCTGGAACGTGAGTGCTCATTAAGGCAGCCAAGTGTCCACATGGGAAAAAGTTATAATAAGCATCTCAACCAGCGCAAAACACTTATCCAGCCCTGCAAGCCACTGCAAGATATGAAACCATAAGAAAGCAGGTGTCGTTTAATCTGACACTCACAGAACTATATGTTTCGTGTCTCCAAAGAACCTTTTATTTCCACAGCGTTGGAGGGGAAGGAATAAGCCAACTCTGGACTGGGTTTGACCATTTCCGACTGCAATTCCCCAGCAGTTGAGTGTTTCACACACTCTGTCCAGTTGCCCTCAGACCTGGAGGCTTCTAGGAGACATCAATGCCTAGGAATCAAGTGACAGCAGAGATCTGATGCCCACAAATATGGGATCTTCCCTGCCCTGGGAATAGCCGCATTTCTGCTTCAGGGTGGGATCTTTCTTCTCCGGACATTAGCTCCCTTCTCACAGCCTGAGGGCTAGATGGGCATCAGCTTTTCCCTTTCAGCAGCTGGATTCATTCCCTTTCTCTCGCTTTCTCCCTCAGTTCCCACTGTCAGCAAACCCAACCTCCCCAGGCTGAGCATGAGGCACACAGAACAAGCTCTACCACGTATAGGGCAAGGTCCTCGACATGCACAAAAGCACCATATTTGGCCAGTTTGAGCCAGAGTTGAGTGAGAGCTTGCCAGAAGGAGAATCATGCAATTCAAACTGAAAGAGAGTGAGTTTAACCCTTCATTTATAAATATGATGATAAATCACCCAGGCAACTTTAAACATGGAAAGGCTGCAAAACTAAACACATGCTGCTGCCATCCCAGGCAGCAGAGTAACACTAGCAGGCAGGACAGGGTAAGGGAGACAGCGGGGATGACAGAGGAGCCAGGTTGCCATATCAGATGTTCTGATTCAGGACAGGGAGATGAGAAAAGCTGAAGTTGTTTATACTAAATAACACTCACTCTCACTTCTTAATGTCTTTTTCATCTTTCTGATCCCAGTGCATGGCTCTCTTATTCTTTGTCTCTGGGTCTGCACGCAGAGATCCTATCTGCACACACCAATAAACAACCCTTTTGGAGAGTGGTTAGGACAAAGCTCTGTTGCCTGACCTGCCTTTTCTTTTGTATCCCATTACTTGAATTGCTGAGCCAGATCCAAAATTCCCCTGGATCAAGGCAGCAATCCCCATTGGCTTCAGCAAGTGGAGGGTGAGGCTTAAGGCTGACACTGAGCTAAAAGTTGGGTAGAAAGAAACACAGGATGGTCAAGGGTGTCCTCCTGGGGCAGACGTAGCAATGAGCTGCCCATGGTAAATGAACCAGTGTGATGCCAAGCAGCGAGCGAGTGAGGGAAGAGGCTTGCAGGACCTGGTTTCTGCACAGCGACCATCTGTTTCCTATTTGGCCCAAGAATGATGGAATCGGTTGTGTCACGCAACAATGAGAAAGTATTTCAGAGCAAGTCCCCCTCTCCCAGCGCTCAGCAGGGACCTTTATCAGAACAAGGGAAACCAGGTCAACCTCCAGTCTCCGTCCCTCCCCTTATCCCATTTCTACCCAGATGCCTGCTGTACTTTTAAGGAAATGCTAACCACAGTCTCACAGCCAGACAGACAAAATCCAGCCTGAGAGGTATAATATAACAGCATAGGCCAATTGGCGCAGCCAGATAGCACTCAGAAGGATGCATGTTTACCCATCTTGGGCTTTACAGACTGCCAGATCCAAGAAACAGGGATTGCATGGAAATCTGGGGGGGCTGAGAGCAGAATTAGGCATGAAGAAGGCTAAGCGCCAAACTCTTGGAAGATTTTAGGAAAGGGGTTAGCATAGCAGCTCTTTACTCTGTAAGCAAAGGTGATCATGGTTCTTGTAGCTCTGCATGAGCTCATGCCATAGCTGCAAGCAATAAATAATGCAAAACATAGCAAAATAAAGGTTTGCAGAGACTGCAAAGCTCCTCATGTGTTTAGCCATGACCCCCTACTGATGCTATATGCCACCACTCCATGGTGATGGGTAGCTGAACTGAATCACTTTAACACCTGCATGAGTATTTCTGATGGCAGAGACACAGACCTGGTTGGCGTAATTTGTTGACTGAGGGGCAGGGAAGGGCAGAATTGGAAATCTTTGGAAATGTTTGTTTTCCCTCAGACGCGAGGTCACGCTGCCATTCTGTGCCTTGTCCAACCTGCTGCAAAATGGGGCAACGTACCTTTGTCAAGCGCTTGGAGGCCCACAACGGAAAAATATTTAGTAGCTGTTAACCAGGGGTTTGGTCCAGCTCCATCTCATTAAAAGCACTCAGAGGAATGCTATTGCTTTGCCAGTCCAGCTCTCTGTCCCTTCTGCTTGTGAGCCATGACATGAGGGCAGTCCCACAAAGAAAGGAAAAGGCCATTCACCCCAAAATGCATCAGTAACAATTTGATTAGAGGAAGACTTTTCCCACTGCAGCCCAAGAGGCAGCTTTTCCACAGCCTGTCAGTGAGGAAATCTTCAGAATTACTTAAATTTGTTTCATGTGGATGCTTGGATTTTGAGTTCAGACAGGGCAGTGATGGAGTGGGAAGAGATAGAAACTCTAATTCAGCTACTCCATTGCATGTTTGATTTGGAAAAAAAAAAGTTACTTGTTTTTTAGCTGTTTACTATATCTGGAGTTTATTTCACTGCCCGTGGGGCTCAGTGGAAGAGGTGACTATGTAAGCCATCACACTGTATATGCTGTGGTTTTAATTTCTGTGTATGGACAGTGCTCATAGGGGATCCTTTTCTATTAGTCTGTAAAGTGCCCTACACACGTCAATAGCATTGTGAGGATGAGGAACATTTGAATGCATTTTGAGTTACTGATTTCACTGAGGCAGGAAAGGAAAAATGTAAGATGAATATCAGGTGTTTGTGACAAAGGATCTGGGACTGAAGAAAAATCTCCCAGAGGAGGCAAGCTACTAACAAGATGTAAAATCAGAGCAAACGGCCAGTGTCTTAGAATTACAATAAGAAGACAAATGCATATGCAACTCAATACACTGTAGTGCATGCTAAGGGATGGGATGGGTGATTTTGTCTTCTCCCCTTGCTCCACTATCTGCATGAACACAGATATACAAGCTCACACTGCACTTGGGCAACAGTCTTTATTTCTTGGTTTGCACTGGTGCAGTGGCTTCCACAGCGCTCCTCTTAACAGCATCTGCAAAGAGAAATCTGGGAGCAGATCCAGGCATCTGCTCATTTCAGTTTGTTTTTGTAATTAAAGAGTGAAACAAACAGAGAAGATCAGATGGTGAGAATATTAGAAAATTGCCAGAAAATGGGCCAGTGTTCTGCATTCTCCCCACACATCTTTGTCAGGTGCCAGACTTCGCAACTCCACTACCTTCAGCCAGTCTTGGGTCCAGTTTTTCCTGTTATTCACTGACAGCATGCTTGGCACAAAACTTACAGACAAGACCCTGCCCCAGGAGTCTGCAGGTTCAATCAGACCCAGACAAAATAATGTGAACATGTGTGCTACTTTGGCTGCCACCAGAGTTCAGTGCAGGGTGAGGTAATCTGGTCATTCCTGAAACACAAGATGTTCCAACATCAGGTTGCTGCTGGAGATGGCCTAAATGCAAAAGTGGACAGAAGTTAGGATGGCTCCTCTTTGCTCAGCAGTTCTTTGGGACATTACAGGTGGTCTGACCCCAGGCTTCGGGATTTCAGTCCTGCAGCATAATGTGGTGCTGGGTTTGATCTCAGGAGGGCTTTATGGTTGAGTGCCAGCCACTCCAATGGACAATCCAACTACTTGGGTTTGAGTGGCTACCTAAACAGAACAAAAAGCCATCTGATTATAAATATCTTTCCACATTCAAGGATATTAAACCCCATCTTTCTTTCACAACACTTCCATAGACTAGACGAGAGGCACTCTGTTCAGGGGAATGTTGAAAGACAGGAGAAGGTCCAGCAGAGGCTTTACCGGGATGGTAGGAATGCACCAGTACAGCTTGAGCCCAACCAGCTGGAAAGTGGCTTTGCAGAGGACTTGGGGGTCCTGGAGGATGCCAAGTTGCGCATGAGCCAGCAATGCACCCTGGTGAGAAAGAAGACCAACAGCTTCCTGGGTTGCTTTAGGAGGAGCATTGCCAGCAGGCTGAGGTGATCCTTCCCTTCTGCTCAGCACTGGTGAGACACATCAGGAGTGCTGTGTGTCCAGCAAATGCACAGAGACTTGGGAATCTCTTCTCCTAAATCTCAGTTCCCCAGCTCTTTATCACAAAGAGCTGGAAGCCTTCTGCTTCTGTCAGGAGGTGTGGAGGAGGTCAAAAGCTTGACTGTTATGGCTAGCAGGGATTTGTAGTTCATTAGCCCAACAAGCAAGCTTTTAGTGGCTGGGCAGGAAAAGGCTTTGGCACTTTTCAGGCAGGCTCAGAGCTGCTGCGATGCTCTCTGGGCCCAGTTAGGACTGTCCCTGCAAAACATTTGCTTTTGGCCAGCAGGAACTCTCATGAAGATCCACTTTTCACTAGAAGGCTTCTGACCTAGGTAGCTTCCTCCTCCGCTTTCTATGTGGCCACTAACAGCTTGGAGTATCTCAGAGTCAATGTGACACCTTTGGTCCATCCTCCCAATCCCCATAAGCAGCAAAAAAGATTAGTGCAGGCAGAGAGCAGGCTACCAGAGGATGGGGCATGCTTGGGGGAGCTGGATATCCAGACTCCCTTAGCAATTCAAGGCTTCCTCATTGAGACACGCAGCCCAGGCACACTGCAGTTCCTGTGAGCACTGGAAGATGTGTTTGGAGCTCCTTGTCTCCCAGCCCTTCCGCACTTGGCTCTTTGGTAGCAGGGACTTCAAACCCTCATAACTCAAGTCTTTCAGCATCATTCTCTGCTGACTCAAGCTGATTTTTTTTAACCTCAAAGTCCTGTTCAGCCGCTTTGAGATATTCCAGACATTTTTCAACCATTTATTTTTATTGAAACCAGCCAAGTCTCTGTATATATTGGGCTTTTTTTTATCTTTTTAATATACAAATCAGTTTAAAATAGTGTGTAAGTCAGGAATGATTTGCAAATTAAACTGTCAGAACCTGGCAGGAGTAGCGGCTGACGCCCTTGGTTTGAAATCTCCCAGCTGCTGTTGCTGTGAGTGCAGATCTCTAGAAGATGCCACACAACCTGCTTGTGCTTCCCTGGAAAATGCAGCCATCCTTTGATTTTAGGAAAATCTTACAGTTCCTAAAAGTGCTGCTGCATGTAGGGCAGGAAGAGCCTCCAGTCAGGAAGAAGCTGCTCCAGTGGAGGAAGGACTCAAAAGAGCCATGTTCAGGAAACAAGAGTTGGTAGGCGCAACATACTGGCCTGACCCTCCCTGTCACAGCGGAAAATGGCCTGTGCCCTCCGTGAGCATCAGTGCACCCTGCTTAGACTCAGCAACCCCATCTATTTCTCTGGGCCATTTGCCACGTGGCTGGCTCAAACATGACCACATGTAGGGTTCCCCAACTTTCACTTCTCCTTTGCTCCCCTCGGCATAGTTCATTTCTCTGTTTGTGCTCAGGCCTTAAAACTATTTTTGCAGAGGGAGAGAAATTTGAAGTGGGGATTGTATGTCTTCTACAAAACATGCATCTGGAAACACTGGAAGACAGCAATTATAAACCCAGGTATTTTTCTAGCGATTATTGGTAATCCCATATTGACAGATGAGAAACTCAGAGAGTACAGCAATATATATAACTACTGAAGATGTACAAGTATGTTGGTTAAAATGTTCTTAGATGACAATATTTTGAGCCCTAAGGAATGCTGACATACCCATCAATACACCTCTGTTTCTTTTCTTCCAGATTGCTGGGAAGTCAGTGACCATGTCAACCTCCTCCACCCTGCCAGCCCTTGACTCTGTCAACTCCACCCAGCAGCCCAACTCCAGCATCTACTTGTTCTCAAAGTTCATCCACCCCGACAAAGAACTGTACACAGAATTTTACAGCCTGTGGATTGCCCTGATGGTAGTCAATGCCATAATTTTCCTGGTGGGTGTTGTGCTGAACAGCTTGGCGCTGTACGTCTTCTGTTTCCGTACCAAGACAAAAACCACCTCTGTTATTTACACTATCAACTTGATTGTTACTGATCTCTTGGTGGGCTTTTCCTTGCCTGTCCGGATCATCATGTTCTATAGTGCAGGTGACTGCCTGAATTGTTCCTTGGTTCATATCTTTGGCTACTTTGTGAACATGTACTGCAGCATCCTCTTCTTGACGTGCATCTGCGTTGACCGCTATCTGGCAATTGTACAGGTGGAGGCCTCACGTAAGTGGAGAAACCCCACCTGTGCCAAGGGGATCTGTGTCTTCATTTGGATCTTTGCCACTGCAGTGACTTTCTCCATCCTGACAATGGCAATACAGTTTGCTGCATGCTGCCTCGCCAAGATTCTGGTCCTGATGGTCTGTGAGTACTTCTTCCCCCTCATCATAATCATCTTCTTCACCACCAGGATTATGTGTGCTCTGTCCAAACCCAGCCTCATGCACCAGAGTCGGGAGAGGAGAATGAGGGCTGTGCAACTCCTTATCACCGTCCTCATCATCTTCATGATCTGCTTCACTCCTTTTCACGTGCGACAAGTAGCAATCTCCATCAACCCAGACATGCCCCATGATGTCAGCCTCGTCGTCTACCATGTGACAGTGACTCTGAGTAGCCTTAACAGCTGCATGGACCCCATTGTCTACTGCTTTGTCACCAATAACTTTCAGTCAACCATGAAAAACATCTTCAGGAAAACCGAGCAAGAGCAATCCAGTGTGGACATCCTTGGTATGAACAAGAACTCCAAGGGCTCCAATGCAATCATCGCCTTCTCAAACACAATAGGAAGCCCTGTGAGCTTGCCATCACCAAGCAGTGTCCAGATATAACCCACACCTGATGGGACACACTGCAGTAAGCCAGTGTAATGAAGCTGGAATACTGCTAGGATGCATGGTACTATTGTCTTTTGACCTCTTTGTTTTTTAGGCTGAGGTTCAGAATGACACTGGTGGAATTTATTCCTCAAGAACATTGTGGTCTGTTTGGAAAATGGAACTTGCAGTGCTGTTAGTACCAATACAAAAGAGAGTCTACTAATTACTGTTCCCAACAGGAAAGTTTTCTTTGTATTTTAATACAGACATTTTGCTAGCAACAAATTCTTTACTGTGGTTTTCTTTTCGTGTTTGATGCCATAATGTCACTCCTAGGATGACTTAGAAAGCACGAAATCTCTATTTTCTATGAAAGCTTTTGGGCCTTGGGCATGTGCTTAGGAGTAAAGGATAAGAGGGATGTTTCCAGAGCTATCCACTACAAAGATTTTAGATGCCAATGCAATGGGAAAAAAGTACTCCAACCCACCTGTCACTAGTAACTACTCATTTGTTTCTGAAAAAGTCTGAACCTTCTCAGGGAAGAGAAGATGAAGTCAAGCAGTAAAGTCTCCTTTCATTATTTCAGCTATAATAAAAAAATACATGTGGGGGTATATGTTTTCATACACATTGCCTGGGCTTGGGGACAGGTTAAGGATATGTTCCACCTTCATTTGGATCACTAAATCCCCTAAACAGCAGATAAGCATACAAAAAAGCTGTGAAAATGAACATGCTTTCCAGCAAACTCTGCTGTTCTGCTCGCTCTCCCTGAAAAACAGCCAAGATGAAAAGCAGGACCAGACTATGATGCTATACTCCTCTTGCTTGATTTTTCTTCCTGGCATGTTGTGAAATCAGGGCTTGCTGTCCTAATTCCCACTATCAGTCCATCCACTCAGTCACTTAAATACTGATGCTTCCAAGGACAGAAAAAGAAACCATCTCAGGCATCCAGGTTGAAATTCACCCCAGTATAAAGTCACTAGGATTATTTTTTTGTTTTAAAAGGTTTGTGAGGCTAAGGGTGCCGGGAAGTTCTGTCCACAACACTGGGTAAATGTTTTAGATTACACTGTACCAATCAAGCAATGCAAATACAAAAAAATGTCCTAGGAAAACAGCAAAACCTCAGCATGAACAGCAATAACTGTTGTTACTGCTCCATGTCTCCTCACTCGTATGCCTATTGCCCCTCCAGCTGGAAGGCTGCTATGAATTCATCAAGTCTAGTGAACAGCTTTTCCTGGCACTCACTGGTGTTACCATTCAGAACAGCAGGATTTATGGTTGGTCCAAGCTCAGGCATCCTAGAGTATTCTGCTTCCCTGAGGTCTGACCATGGGACAGTCATCTCCATTTCACAAGAACACAGCATAACCAATGCTTCAAACCACCTCTTGCACTGAGTTTGCAAGAGTTTGCCTCTTGCAACACATATATGTTTCTCCTAACCTGTTTCCCTGACCAATCCAATGGTAATAAAAATTGAACAGTCAACATCACTGCAATACAGGGATCTATCCAGAGATGAGTATAGTTGTCCTTAGGAGCACTGGGTGTCTCAGTTCCTATTCTGGGCACTGGAGTCCATGGAGAGCTATTCAGCTCATGGAAGCAGAGGCCTCCCAGCTGAGTGACCCTGGCCTCCATGTTGCCTAGATCTCCAGGGATACAAGAGGAGCCCAGACACCACCTGCATATGGAGACACATGTATGCATCTTAATCTGGCACCAAAGTCCCCCAAGGAAAGGACTCAGTTGCCCATAGACCAGTGCCTAATGTCATGGTAGGCATGATGGGGTGTCACTGCACCTCTAGCTCCTACTGCACAAGACTGTGGTTCTCCTGCAAGTCCTGCACTGTCCCTCAGGAACCCCATAGCGTTCACTTCTGCTTGGGCAGCTGAGTCTTATGCCTGAAATAAAATTATGTATCTGGAATCTACAAATGGGCAGTGTTCAGTTGGCTAATGCAGGGGCCTGCAGGTCTCACCCAGAACATCAGCACAACGCCGTCAGCTGCAGTCGGTCCATTAACTCAGGCTCTTGATCATCCTGGGGCACAGCAATTGACATTGCTGGGTATGTGACCTCTTTGAGGCTTTCCCAAGCAATACAGCTGATTCAGTGCCCTTTTGCTGGGAGCTCTATTCCTTTGAAGAGGATTTTCCTTCCAAGAGGTTGTGATGAGGGCCACCAACACTGTGGCACTACCCCACGGGATGTAAGACTGTTGTCCTGGTCATTGTTTCCCATTCTAGACATGGCCATGAACATGGTGAGCCTTCCCAGGGCCCAATTGTGCTGTGTTTTCCTTCTACCTCATCTATTTCCTTACATCTGCAAATCACTGACATAGGCATCTAACAGCCAACACCACCTTCTTGGCAGCTCTCTATTAAATGATGCATCAGCACACACAAATTAGGCTCTGACTTCTTAGCCAGGCTAGCTGCCAAAAACTCATGCCCACCAACCCACAACATGCTCTCGGACCTTGCCATGCCACCTAAGCTGTTTGTAATGTGAATGTGTCTCACATATACAGAGCTGTTAACAGTACTGTCTTTTTCCAAGGCTATTTCAGAGAAACGGGAGGAAAAAAGCAGGCTCAGTGCATAGCTTATTTTAATTTCTTTGTTTCAACAAGCTACAGCTTCACACCTCCCTTTCTTTTGCTATCAACAGTATTTTTGTCGTATGCAGGGATGTCTTAACAACCTTCTCAGTGCAGTTGCTCATTTGAGGTCAGTATAAAGCCTCTAAGATTCTTTGCTTAGATTTTTAAGTTCCTAAACAAGGTCTCAGTTGAAGCTTGCTCTTTCTGTTGTAAACTTAAGTTGTAGTAGCCTGAATTCCCTTTACTGTCAGTGTATTATTCACTCCCCATAAAAGCCACCTGAGATTGGATAATTCTCTTTATTTAGTAATGTCTGTTGCCTTATCCAGAGCTTTCAGTGGTCCTTCTTCATTTTATACCAGCTCCAAAGCACGCTCTGGTCCCTTATCAAGGACACAGTCTCCAAAAATTGGAAAGAGGCTAAATCATCCACAAACTAGCTTATTTTTTCAGTGACTTCTTGTGTTCTTTGTTTAATCCATATTGATTACACATCTTGCTTTTCCTCAGGGTGCAGCACTTGCTAAACTTCTGTCGTGTTTAAAGTCACCCATTTCTGCTGAGGGCACAATGTTGAAAATCAGTACCAAAAATTCAGCTATTGTCAGAAATACTCTTCCAAGTGGCACAGTTTTGGTGGGCACCAGTTCTCATTGCTTCTGAAGCCTCCCTCAGTTCTCTGTGTTTCTGGAAATTGGGGCCAGGTCTCTTGCCCCTTGACCTGCACCATCCCTCTGCTCAGGGTATCTCCTTGGGTTGCCTCTTAGTGATCACCAACAGAGATTGCAGTAGTCCTATTCCTACCCCAACCTGCCCTTTCTCTAATGAGAACAGCCACACACGACACAACAGGGAAGCCTCCAAGGGCAATGTAACTCCATGCATCATTAAATACACACAGAGACTGCTAAGGTAAAGCACATACAAGTCAGCTTTTTCAGGGCAGTCTTTTATGCAGCGTATTTAAAGATTTAGATGACAAATTCCCAATGGTTTCAAACTCAATCAGGCACTTAACAGCCTTTGAGGATCTGGATCATTACCCAGAGGCTGAAATAGTAATATTACAGCTCAGAAACCTGTAGCAAGGCAGAGGTGCAGAATAGCAAGCCCTCAGTCATACTGCAAACATATCCAGGCCCAGTAAAGCTGAAAATCTCCAATTCTGCACCAGAAAAGGAGCCCCTGACTCAACACGTGGGGTTATCTGCCAGACCAGCTTCCTCCTGGGCTCAGAGCAAGTTCTGCCGTCCCTCCACAACCGCCTTGATAACTGCAAAGAGGAAACAGCACAGCTCTGTGCGAAGACTATTTCTTCCTTCCTTGTCCCTCTGGGGTTTGCTGCCCCTCAGATGTGTGTACAAGAGTCTCATTAGTCAGCCTAATCAGCATTAATAAGTACTGTTAGCAGGTGTAGGCTTGACTTGTGGAAAGGCTGAGGAAAGTGGAATCGCCCATGTTAGAGCTATCAGCACAGGCCACCTGCATTGGCATTGAAGAAACACGGGCCTGCCACCCTGTCTATTCTGTACCTGTTGGCTGCCTCCTTCCAGATGTAAGGGCAGGAGTGGCTCTGGGGAAGGATTTGGGAGGAGAAGGCAGATCTGATCCCCACAGCTGCTCCAGGGCAGGGGAAGACGAGGAAGACAGAGGAACGAGAGCCTCAGACAAAGTAATAACAGAGGAAGGAAAGAAGGGGGAGCCAATGGGTTAAACAAGTGGAGCTCCACAGAGGGGAGGGGTGGTGAGAACAAGGACGAGGACCTTAATACGGGGGAAAGCTGTCAGAGAACACAGGGACCTGATATCCAGCAAAGGATGGTACGGGAAAACAAGTGAGGGCTTGGCTTGCTTTTCCCCTTCTGGGCACCATTAGTCCCAAAACAGGAGCTCTGGGGAGGATTCCAGTGCTTGAATCAGAGCTGGAAGACTCCCATTTTAGGAAGAAAAAGTCTAAAAGCAGAGCACTTTATCCCCTTCCCATGGTGAGGCCCAGGAAAGGGACAAGAGTGACCTCCCCACATCCGTGTGAGCTTTTGTGGTCTTGCGGTAGAAGACAGAAAGGTCTCCTGTGTGCTGGGAAAGAGGAAGAGGGCCTTCATCCCACCATGCTTGGGAAGAGGGTGCAGGGGGTGCAGGAGGGGATCTAGAGCAGTGTGTGCTCGTGGGCTAGTAGCAACATCCATTGTGTATGTTGGCTACGTGATGAGCAGGATTGTCATGGGAAGCGCCGGGTGATGCTTATACTAGATGGTGCCACCTGAAATGTCACACCACAGCACACATCCCATGCACTGCAGGGCATCCCAGGCAGAGGCAGACTGGCAGATTGCAGCATGTCCCCAAGCTCAAGAAATGATTGATTACTTGACTGCAGTATTTCAGT